ATAATAATAATAATAATAATAATAATAATAATAATAAAATAATAATAATAAAATAATAATAATAAAATAATAATAATAATATAATTAAAAAAGTGATATATAAAACCAGCCTTTTAAAAAGATTATTTATAAATAGATTATTCAAAGATAGAGAATTCGGAGTACAAAGTTCATGTATATATCTTATTGTTAAATATATGGGAAAATTCATCCATGATGGTTCAGTCCATATCATTTAATAAATATTTTGGCAGTATATTAATATATATTGTATTAAGGAGAAATAATTATTTCATTATTTAAATACGTTATATATAGTATATATACAAGATTCAGCATAACAGGTAATGATATTTTTACATATAGAAAAAAAGTCGAAGAGAATCGAGTAACACTTTTACGTTTTTCAATTTTCGTTTCCAAGAAAATTGTGTTTATGTCAGAATTCTCAGAATTAAACGTACACTGAAATCTCTCTAATTATTTATTAACAATAAACATTTTTTTTCCTTTATGTTTCCGTACTCATTCAATACAAAACAATATTTAATACGAATATAAAAACTTTCCGTATGTTAAGTTGAAATATTTCTCCTGAATACAATCATTGGGATAACGCGAAATATTCGCATGTTAGTTGTAAAAAAAGGTGACAATAAACAAAAAAATATTAAAAAAACACCTCGAGTCATTTTACAGGAGCTAAGTAAATATAATTTATAAAATATCACATGACATATATATATATATGATCATGAATTCATCGGATCAAACGTCGACTTATTTCAAATGCGATTTCACTTTGCTTGTGAAAACATATAAATGCATTATTATAGAAATGTGTCTTCTCAGTTATAAGTCTTTTAGAAATAATCGTTTTATTTTCACTTAGATACCCTGGTTTCAGTTGTAACTTTGCTTGGATCTGGTAACCTGACAACTAATTGTGCACCGTTTTGCATTGGTCTCGTGCCATTAGATGCGTTTGTTTTACCTATTATTGGTTGAGGAACAGAAGGTAAAACTTTCTTTGCACCGCTTAGTTTAGGTGAGCAACACTGTTTTTCATCATAGTCGTTTAAATTAATATTTGTATTTGGAGGTGGTTGGTAATTAACAGTCTTTGCTGGTGTACTATGTTCGTTAAAGATACAAGCAGATCTTTGTTCGATCGATTCAACAACATTTGAAAAGTTTTGTTGATGTAACTTCATGGCATTATTGTGATCATTTAAATTGCATACCAATGAATCCATGTTGCTTTTAAACATTTGATCCTTTTGATCACCTTTGTAAATTGGTGCTGACAGTTGTGTGGAATTTGTTTTATTCGTGCTTTTATGACTACTACCAGAATAACTGGTTATCGATTCGTTGCAAAAATCGCTTAAATATGTTTGATTCATATACCAATTGTGTAGACGGTGATGAATTTCTGGAAACTGTGGCCTTCGATTGGCTACTTCGTGCCAACATTCTATCATCAAACTATAGATCATCGTTGGACAATCTTCTGGACATGGTAGTAATTGACGAGAACGTATCATGTCGATTACTTCTTGATTGTTGTACCCATAATATGGCTACAAAGAAAAATAAAATTTAGAAAGGAATTCTTGTGTATGCAAAAAGAAATTTATAAATAATAATTACTTACTTGTAACCCATAACTATAAATTTCCCATAATACAACACCAAAACTCCAAACATCTGATTCCGTAGTGAATTTTCCATATAAAATTGACTCAGGTGGCATCCATCGAACTGGTAATAAACTCTTAGATTGAACTCTGTAATAGTCACTACTATAAATATCACGAGACAATCCAAAATCAGAAATTTTCACTGTCAAGTTGTCTCCTACTAAACAATTTCTAGCAGCTAAATCTCGATGAACGTAGTGATGACTGGCCAAATATTCCATACCTAGAAAAATATTCACAATGAATAAGAAATTACAAATTAAACTAATCAATTAGACTTCATTTGAAATTAGCTTTGACTTACCAGAAGCTATTTGCAATGCAATATGAAGAAACTCTGGTTGTTCTAATATCTTTCCAGTTACATTATTCAATGGAACATCTGATCTTGGTGAATGACAGATTAAAAATTCATGTAAATCTCCTTGCGTCATATATTCGAATAACATACACATCGGTTCTCCTTTTAATATAACACCTAACAAACAGATTATATTTGGATGTCGAAGATCCGTCATGAGATCGACTTCTCTTTTAAAATCACTTTGTGTTTTTGGACTTGCATTTTCTTTTAGAGTTTTTACAGCAACGTATATTGGTGGTTCGCATTTATTACCAGTTTGTAGCTCGCCTTTATATACTTTTCCTGTCAAAAAAATGCAAGTAAAATATTATTATTATTTCTATATGTAAAATGTAAATTAATTTACAGATATATAAATTTTGTATTTACCAAAAGCACCTTCTCCAAGTTCTTGTAATAATACCACGTTGTTTGTGGTAAATTGAGGTACTCTGTTATTCGAAGTTCTACTACTACCACTACTTAATGTTCCTGTACCTGGAGTCGTGTTACCGGGTCCAGCTAAAAGAGAACTCATTTCCATTGGTTGCGTAGCACTGCGTCTTCCATCATATATGTTTTTGTCGCAATGTATTCCAGTTAACATCTACAAACAAAATATTTAGTAAAATATACAATTATTTGAGATTATTGATTATTAAATACTTTTTGTACTAACTTTATTCGAGGGTAAATGATTCATTTGTCTTCTGGACTTTCTACTTCTGTAGCAACAGCAATAACAAATAATTATAGTAACAAACCCTCCCATTAGTACAAAACCAACAACTCCATAAATCCACAAATTTTCAACTGTAAAATAAAAATGATAAATTATTCATTTTAATTAAATTGATTAGTCATATGTGTATGTGTATATGTGTAATACATCATACGATAACTTACCACATTTAGGTATATGACAAAATTCTTTTTGCATTCTATTATTAGCGTCAACAAAACACCAAGGTTGTAAATCTTGACCGCTTGGATTTCTACAATAAGAATGTCGCCAAACAGGGTATTTATGAATCATTAATAGATGAGACCATTTCAAACAAGGTCTACCACTAATGCTGGTATTCACAGCACCTCGATAAGATTCTCCGTTACCCCAATAACAGTATTCGTCTATTAAATTAAATATACAAATACATGTATTTATTTGTAAGCATAGAAATTTCGTATTTAATGGCCTAATAATTTGTAATAATAATAATAACAATACTAACTTTCTTGTACATCATTTTCAGTAGAAATACTAACGCTCAAACAATCTTGAGCTTCTGGACTGCCTTTGAGCGGTAAGTCAGAACATTCGAGTAAAGGCACTTGTCCGATAAGTGGATGTCTTTTTGCTATAGCATATTCCGTTCTACATAATTCATTTTCCAACAATTCACATTCCTCGCGACATATTCTTCGTAATTTTCGATTCATCTCATTTTTATTTGACGAACGATTGTCTCCATAGCTTTGATTGATTATTTTCTGATTACCTCCTTTTCTTTCCTTGCTTGGATTAAATTCAAAACCAGGACCTAGTGTAGGATTTCTTTTTTTACGTAGTCCATGTGTTCTTGCATATTCATCTACGGAGTCCTCTCCTTCACCGTCTTCTAAATGTTCTTCTTGATTTGATTGAAGGCGATTAAACAATTTACTACTGAATTCAGAGAATTCACTATTCTTTGGTTTAGGATTATTTGGTGGATTTCGACAAATAGGAAATGTTGAGTAACATAACGACGGTTTGGCATAGCTTTCACAATTGGAAGATAAATCGCTATAAAAATGTAATTACTATTAGTTTCAATATTTCTTGATAAGAAAAGTTAATTAATTAATGAAGTACTTACTTAGAAAAGTTTATAACACCGAAAGCTTGAATCAATTTGTCTTCGAGTAATTTCTGCGTCATTGGATACAAAATGTAAACGGTCTGATTTCCAACAAATTGTGCACAGGTTTTACCTACGTAGGTCTATAAAATCAAAATCCAAACATACAAGATATTATAATACAGTGTCTTTATTTTATTAAATAATTATTTTGTAAGAAGTGGAAAAATTTACTTCGCAAGTTCCTTCATGATTGTCTTTTTTTCCAGGTATTGAATTCATACCAGGAAATCCAGCAAAATTGACCATACCCGATGGTACTTGTATATTGACGTTTTTAAGGCCACTGAGTGTACTAAAATCCACAGTGCTTGACTGGGAACTAGTCGGTTGTGGACTAGGTGATAATACATTCAAAGAATTTGTTGGTGCCAGATGAGAGATGTGTGGCGTTGACATACCAATCCCTGAGATGTCCAGTCTGTTAGTATTATCCATTCTAAAAAATACGAATATTACAAAATATTCTTAAATTTATTTTATTTTCATATTCATCATAACATGTCATCATCATAATACATCTTTTACAAAACATAAATAAAAGTATGAAACCTAACCCTATTTAGAAATTAAAATAAATTTAACAAATATAAGAATAATAATATTATTTTATATATATTTACTTAAAATAAAATTATTATATATACATAACCTCATACTATGAATAATAATGAATAATAATAATAAATAATAAGGTAAATATAAACAAAGTTAGAATAAATTAGACAAAGATAAGAATAATAATAAAAATATAATATTGTTTTTTTTAATGAATTTATTTGAAAAAAATTATTACATAACCTTATATTATGAATAATTATAAACAAAAATAATAATATAATTACAAATAAAAATAACAAAAAGAAAAAATATTCATATCTCAGAAAACGTCATGTTTTACAAAACATAAACAAAAACATGAGACATAACCTTATTTTGAAATTAAAATAAACTTATTTGAAGAAACATTTTATGAAAAAGATAACAATAATAATATATTCTTTTTAAGTATTTATTATAAACAAAAAATAAAATGACATAATACATTGTTTTTATATAACTTTTTGTCGCGAATAATAATAAAGGTTAATAATGAATATAGCGTCACCTTCTTTCCGAAAAGTTAGTAAGATTATTGCCGATGTATAACGCTCGTATAAAAATACATGTATTATTTAACAATGCTAGGTACAATAGTAGCTTCATTATTGTAAATTTAATTATCAAAACATTTAATATATATCAAGCGTTAAAAACACATAAATCATTTAACACCACACTCGCGGAGGCCATCGGTAAACTAGAATTCTGCGTGCTTAAGGGTTGTTAGAAAGGGGTTATCGCGCGTTTCTTACTGCGCATGCGCAATATCATTTTACTTGTCAATTGTGAATTTCAAGAGACGCGCAATACTATCCGGTCAATAAAATATAAATTAAAATTAAAATCTATAAAGAACGTATAAATAAGTGAATAAAAATATATATAAATAAAAAAATGAATAAAGTAATGATTACCCTTCGATAAAACTAGAACCAGCTGGTAATCCGGATGAAAATTCGTCGGTGTTTGATGTTGGATTATCGGAATGAACAATTGGGCTTACTGGAGCTACAAAAAAAAGGTTTTTTATTAATAATTAAAAATATAATGTAAGAAAAATTCAAGTAATATTAATTATTTTCATGTTTTTGTGTGTATTAATATTATTACTTTTTTTTATATTAATTTTAATTATTATGCATTTATAGATAATTCTTAGATTAATTTGTTTTTTTGTTTATAATTTAAATATAATTCTTATATTTATTTTTGATAATTAAAATGATTATAATACTTATAAATTATTATTCTATATATATTCTAATTATTTATTCAAAAATATTTATCAAATAAATAGAATGTATTTGATTATTTATTACAATTAACTATGGCGTGAAATTCAAAACTTCGATGATTATCAAAAAATTAGTTTCAGATTTTTCGTTTAATCGAAGAGAGAGAGAGAAAGAGAGAGAGAGAGAGAGAGAGAGAGAGAGAGAGAGCATGTATTTGACGATAAAACGATATATATATATTTATAAAAGTAGTACGGTATATTCATTTATTAGATGTCCAAAAGAAAAGGAAGATAAGGGAAGTACATTTACGATGATAGAAGCAAAGATGAAGGAGAAAACTTCAAAGCTTGACGCTTCGTATCATCTTCCACGACTCAATTTAAGTGTAATATCATCTTACCGCGATATCCTTTGCTCATTCCCCTTGTTCCTCCTTTCTCCCACCTCTTGTTTCTCTCTTTTCTTTTTATATACAGTTACTGTAACTTTAGTTATGAGTTACATATACTATATACTCTCTCGTTGTTGTAAAAAAGCAGAGCTCGCATAAAACTGATGTCCTTTGTAGTACCCATGTAGTTTTCAAATATAATGGAAGTTACTCCCCTTTTGTTTCTACCCATTACGTTCCAGTTCTTTTTTTTTCTTTTTTGTTTTTCCCTCATCCCTTTTCCTTTTTCTCACACACGAAATAGAAAACAAAAAAGGGAAACGAGAAATCTTAGGTACTTTCTAAAATACAAATATAGGAGTGTGTACCTATATACTACAAGTTACTAAGAGGTACGTTCAGTTATTTACTTTGAGGTAGTCATGATTCACTGTAGTACTGTATAGTAACGGTATAGAAGAAATAGAGTCCCCTTGGTGGTTCATATTCGAGGGTAGATTCAGATTTTTGATATTATTTGCTTTAGGCTACTGTACCAACTGATTCTGTATTTGAAAGAGAACGGGGAGAGAAATAGAAATAAGAAGAAAATAGAAAGAGATAGGAAATAAAGAAGAAAAAAAGACGAAAAAGTAAAAGTAAAAGAAGAAGGAGGAGGAGGAGGAGGAGTTCACGAAGAGAGGACAAATATATAGGGCGTCTCCCTAAAAACCAATTCCACTATAATAAACCCAAACGATTACCGTACAAAATTGCTTTCTCTTTTGGTAGAATTTGAAAAGGGATGGCTGAATAGAAAGAGAAAGACATATATCAGGGTAGGGGGATGGTTAAGGGGGAGGTTGGAGCAAGTGGAAGAAGAGAGGTGGAAGCCAAGAAAACCGTTTGATGTGGTTCCTCCTTTTTGTGAAAGTTTCGTCCATTATAATACCAGAAAAATCGTTGGGCCCCCATTTAGTCTGCCAACTACGTAGGAATAGGTACGTGTACTGTAGTCGTTTGAAATGTCACTCAGTATTAACTTAAACCGTAGAGGAGGGTATCCCCCTCCAATTCGTGGTTTAGTTAATTTTTTTTTTCATCCTTATGCGAATAAAAGTCGCATATATTTGGGTTGACAGGAAATTTCCTGGGTGATTTATAAAAATATAACTTTTAAGATATATATAAAAATGTAGTCATCTGTAATAGGGAAGAAAGGAAGGAAGGGAAAAAGAGAAAGAATGAAATGAAAATAGAATAGGAAAATAGAATAAAAGTATTTCCAACTCGCAATACGTGAAATTTGTTGTTCACTTTTGGTCTTTTCTTTTTGTCGTCCAACCTCTTGAAAAAACAAAATGAAAGAGAGTAAGACAACAGCTAGCTGGTTCGGTTCTGCACGTGTTGGTTGGTATAGTGTGTACATATGTGTGTATAAGCGTGGGTGAAAAAAGAGAGGGTGGGGTCCATGAGGAGTTGTAGAGAGAGATCAGATCTCCCCCCTCTCGTAACATACCTTGTCTCACGATATCTCACGATCGGTTGATCGAAGGGGCACTTTGTCACGCCTCGCTGAATTCGTCTCAATCCCTGCTTACATCGAATGTTCGAGGAGTACAGAGTTAGAGTGAGAGAGAGAGAAAGAGGGAGAGGGAGATATAAATCGTTCCTTGTAAAATCTACGCATACGTTTCTTACTCCCAATGTTTCGAATTCAAGTGAGAGTAATAGTTCGATCTATTCGATCAATATTTTTTTTATCAATATTTCGTAAAATAAATGATAAGTTTATATGTAGGATATTTTGTTTAATCAATAAGTAATTATTTAATTGCAATAATTCAAATATTTCTTTTAATTATCAAGAATTATTACGTAAGTTGGTAGGAGTATTATTGTATTAATATTTTTGTTTAATTTATATTTATTCGATAAATATTTTGTAACATTTTTCGTCAGTATTTTAGAAAAAATTTTTGGTTTGGTATAATTAAATTATTTTTTTTTTTTCATTAACGTGTGTCAGAGTTGCGTCAGGGGGTTGCGTATTATATTATTATTGTATTAATATTTTTGTTTAATTTATATTTATTCGATAAATATTTTTTAACATTTTTCATCAGTATTTTAGAAATATTTTTTGTTTAGTACGATTAAATTATTATTTTGTCATTAACGTGTGCCAGGATTGACAAACATTTTATTACAAATATTAGTCATTTTTTTATATAAAATAAATATTATTAGAAAAAAAGAGGGTATATATAGAAACATTCACCCTAATAAAAACACACCCAAAGAAATAAAGGGACAAATATCAAAAGATAATATCAGAAAAAGCAAATTCGAATTTAACAAGATGCGAAAGAAATTAAAGTTCCAATGTCACTCGACATTAAAGAGAGATCGTGTTTTATCTTTGAGTAACATTGATTGATCTTCTGCAGTCATCTGATGTAGACGAAAGATAAGATCTCCTTCTCTCTCTCTCTCCCTTTCCATCTTAAACGCATTAATTTATTTTTCTTTTAGATCTCTTTGGAACAAGTTTGTTGTGTCCTTTCACGGTGAGGACTAAGATTTTCTTTCGTTGCTTCTTCGTTCATTTCCGATGATAAATTTTCAAATACAAACAACACATACACACATACATAAACACACACACACACACACACACACACTATATATATA